CTGCCTTTGGGCTTGGAATAGTAGACCCTGCGCTTGCCTTGGTTTTTAACTTTTTTTTAGTAGAATTGGGATGTGCATGTGCTTTCTGTGGGTGTCACTGCACTGTCACTGTGTGCTTTGATTCTGTCTTCACATGAATCCCACATGGGCACTTAAGTTTCTTCCTGCAACAGCAAACCCTAATTCCCATATATATCTTATTCTGCTCATTCAATCCTTCCCCCGCCATTAATTAATATTATCACATTATTCTTTCCATCTTTCACTTCCTTACTTTCTTTTACTACCCACTTTTATCCACGCTCTGAACTTGTTTGTCATTCTCATTAGGCTAAGTACATAAACAGATCCTAGAGGGGGGGGAATAGTGAAGTAATGAAAGAAATCATCAATGGAGAAGTCTAGGGTTGAGTTTCCTGGCTTTCAGACTCACAGTCACAAGGATGAGTTTGAATTCAGAAGGTGTATGAGATTGAGTCGCCTGCAAAAGCGAGCTCCATGTCCTCTTCAGGTAATTAAACCTAACGCCATTTTCTCTGCTTCTTGCAGTAATCCTCAGAACTCAACTTCAATTTCAAGCTCTTCTTCTTCTTCATCACCTTCATCTGATTCGATCTTTAGCAGTAGAGATCCCATACCTCTGCTTTCTCCTCTTCTGGTGCTTGTTCAGCCTTCCTGCATCAGAGAAGACAACTCTGCAACATCGCACTGATGGGATTTTCCATTTCTATGTTGTAGATCTTGATCATATGCGCACCTGCTGATAATATGTTACGTGCTTGTTGATGAATCGGAGATGATCAGTCATTTGTTCATTGTTTCTGTTGCTTCCTGTGACTTGAGGCTATATATATATACCTCGTTACCTTGTAAAATGAATATGGTTAGGAGTTTAAAGTTGTTGAATGGATAATGATCAGTAATTGACAATCATAAGATCCAAAATATTCATAACGTGGAAACGTGACCAAACTTGGTGCAAAACAAGCTTCAGCACTTAAAATGTTTTAGCTAGTCATTAAGGATACTGGGTCAGCACAGGCATCCATGCATAATCTTTTAGGATCTTCATATTTTCAAATGGCATTTTTGTTTCAAGAGTAATAAAATATACAAGGAAATGGTTTTTTATATGTAAACTTTTGGGGGAAAATAAAAAGAAAATTGTTTTCCTTGGTAAAAAAAAAAAAAAAAAGCAGAAGGTTCGACTTGAGAACTGAGAAATCGTAAAAATCAGATTGCATGCTACTCTTGAGAGAATACTGCATTTTCAGGGCTGGGCCCATACATAGATACTCTAAGGCCCATAATAAGAGTGGCCTGGCTATATTGTTTCCCATGCAAAAGGTTGTTTCTTTTGGGGACAGAAAACAACATCATTCAAGCCTTTTGTTTTGGGTTTTTGTGATTTGTCTGTCAGTTTCGGGCCTTCATTGTATAGCCTAGATATTGGGTTCATTCCGCATGTGAGGAGTCGCCAGTATGATCCATAAACTCTAAAAACAGTTCAGCTTACCTTTTATATTAAAGCGACTTTTTTTTTGACCAAAATATTAAAGCGACTTTAAAAAAATCATCTTATCAATACCCATAATTATCATAAGATTTCCAGCATGAGAGTTCAGATTTAGTTTGGGATGGATAATGAATCTAAGATATCAGGCGGTCTAGTACAAAAAGAAAATCACATTAATCGTGTGTTTGGTTAAAATACAAGTGTTTTCTAAAATAAAAAAAAATTGTAAATATACATATTTCATTTTCTTTCTAAAAAAATTCTTTTATGTTATGATACTTCCTTTTTATACCATATTTTTTTATTTTTTTCCCTCGCGGTTCCTGCCTTTCTATAACTTTTTTTTTTTTGGGAAAAGAGAATAAAGAATGATAGCATTGTTAAATGAAAAAAATGGCCACTCCTAATTTTTTGAATTGAAATTTGAAAATTCCAAAAGAAAAGAAATTCATTCAATTTTATTTTTATCAAAAAAAAATTATAAAACTCAAACTACTTAGATTATCAAAATCAGATCTTTCAAGAGAGTAATGTGACTACACCATTGTATTCCCATATAGGACATTGACACATTTGGTTGGCTTGTAGTCATTATCAATTCTTCGAAGATCTTATTACTAAAATCATTTGAAAAGTATAACGAGTCATATATCAGAGAGTCTCGTAAATTATGCAGTGTATAAGTTTAAGAGGCTTTTTTTCTTATTAAACTAATTTTTTGATATGAGCTATCTCTTTAAACGTATGCTTGTTACATTAGTACTTTTATTGAGAAGCCAGTGTCTTCAAAAGGGCCTCTCACGAAGGATTTTGACTAATAAGAGGGCATGCGAAGTGCCATGGTGTGAAGCCATTAAACACATCGCCTCTCGACGAGACGACATTATAACGAGTCCCATATCGGGAGCCTCACATCTGTTGTGGGTTTTATAAGTTTAAAGAGCTTTTATTTCTATTAGATTAGTCTTTTGAAATAGGCTCTCATTTTAAGTTTATGCTCGTCATATTGGTATTTTCATTGAGAAGCTGGTATCTCAGAAAAGGCCTCCCACGGAGGATTTTGACTAGTAGGAAGGCAGGTGAAGTAGTTGTGATATAGAGCTATTGAGGACGTGGCCTCTCGACGAGACAGCATTGTAACTAGTCCCACATTAAAAGCCTCACAAATGTTGTGGATTTTATAAGTTCAAAAGGTTTTTATTTTTATTGGACTAGTTTTTTGGAATAGGCTTTCATTCCTTCTTTTATTGAGAGGTTAGTGTCCTGTAAAGGGTCTCCCACAAAGGATTACAATTGACAGGAGGTCAAGTAAAGTGTTGTAGTGTAGAGTTGTCGAGGATGTTAGCTCTTGATGGGGTAGCATTATAATGAGTCCTAAATTAAGAAGCTTCACAAATGTTGTGAGGTTTATAAATTTAAAAAGTTCTCCTTCCTATAGAATTAATTTTTTAGGATAGGTTCTTCTTTTAAACTTGCACTCAACAAAAAGCTACACCTCCCAATAAAAATAATTAGACTACATTTGGAATAATGATGAGATGAAAATTATAAAGACAAAGAACTAGACGGAAAAAAAAAAACATTTCACCCTAGTCTTTTTCTTGTTTTCTAGAAGGGAGAAAACTAGAAAAAAACAAACTGTACGTTAGGGGGGGCCGTTTTTTTTTTTGGGCCAACTTTTAATTTTGAGTTTATATTAATGGATATAGTTAGAATTCATATTTCATGTTTGGATTTGTTTGATATTGATAGATCAGGATGAATCTCCTCACGAAGAAAGAACAAGGGTTTGGCTTTGTTTTGGCCCTCAGCATGTGACGGTCCGAATTTAAAATCTTAATTCTATTTATTGAATAATAATATTTTAAAAAAGTAATTGTTAAAAGATCATCTTTATTTCAAACTACACACCTATTAAAATAAAGACTGTCACAAATATAAAAATTAAATAACATTAAATCTAAATGGCTCAGAGTACGTGAATTGTGAAAGTCAAATTGGAGGAAGGGGAAGGAGGAAAAAAAAGAAAGAAAAGTAAATTTGAGTTTCAGCCATTTTAATTTTATTTCGATTCAATTACATATGAAATAAATTTATTCCAAACATTTTTACGTGTTACACTTTTCAGGTAGTGAATGATTCTGATTCTTTAGTTCACATTTCACAAGAAGTCTAAAGTTCCTTTGAGGAAAAGAGAAGGAGAGAGAGGCTAAATTCATTAGAAAGGTAAGTGAGGAGAAAAGGAGCAAATTAGTCATAAATAATAAATTTAAAAATGTTTAAAATTTAAAATTTATTTTTTATATATTATTCTTTTAACTTTTAAAAATAATGTAATATAATTCATATAATTAATAAAAGTTAACTTTAACAATTAATTCATAAAAAATAATAAAAATGGAATAAATTGGCACATTGGCGAAAAAAAATATTGTGCTTAAAATAATGGACCAACTTTTTAAAAATTTAAGAGTATGACTAGCTCATATTAATATTTAGGAAGTTTATTATTGTTATATAAGAATTTATCATTAAAAATTTAAAAATTTATCAGAAACTTATCATAGATATACAATGGTATAACATTAATAAGTATAATAAAGCGACCGTATTATAAATTATAATAAATATTAGGATGCTTGCTTGGTTTGATATTATAACATTATATTTGCAAAAACCCTTAGAAAATAATATTAAAAATTATAATTTTTTTTGGTATTTTCTTATAATTTTTTAAATACTTTTCTATATTTTTTTTGTCATTTGCCATAATTTTTTGATATTTTTTGCAATTTTTAAAGTTATTTTTTAATTAATTAATAATTAAAGTTAATTTTTATTAACCATAATAATTGAATTGCATTATTTTTAAAAATTAAAAAATATTATATCAAAATAAATTTTAATAGAACTTTGTGTTTCACTTTGTTTAATTTTTTCAAAGTTAAATGCTCCCCTTCTCTCACTAATGGGAAAATAAATAATCCAATTAAATTCTACATTCCTTATATTTTATTAATATATTTCTTTCTTTTTTCTTTCCCGAGGATTAGCTTGAAGCGATGATCAACTCACCCATTGACTTTGGAAATTATTTTCCACATTGGTAGGCTCTGGAATTTTCAGTTTTGTTTATCCTTAAAACTAATAAAAAGCTTCAGTAAAATGCCATGACTTTCTTGCCCCTCCCAATCCTCAATTCTCATTCTGTTCTTCCTTTTTTCTTTTATTTTCTTATTGAAAATTGAAAAAACTCAAAAACAAGGACCTACATTCAACATTATTATATTGTAAATTTTTTTAAATTTAATTTTTTAAAAATTTAACATCTTTTTGATTCTATTTTTAAATTAAAAAATATATAATATTTAATTTATTCAAAACATGAATAATTACATGGGTGGCTCCTAGAAAATGTCCACGAATGTGCAACGAATAAATAAATAACAAATAATAAATAATAATAAATGAATAACCTGAACAATGCTCTTTCCATACCATTTCCAGCTCCCATTCCGTGCTCCGCCCCGTCTTCCGCCTTCATTCGATAATCGATCTTCTTTGGTTCTCTCTCCAACTCCATAAATTGTCTCCCTGTTTCGCTTCGAAGAGCTAGCGGATTCTTGAGAACATCCAGAAGGTTTCTCATTTTTTCATATTGATTAGTTTTTATGGAGGTAGGTTTCAAATTGTCTTTCCTAGCCTCGATATTTACATGTGTTTCTGCAGTTGTGAAATTCTGATATTTTGATAGGATAGAATCCTCGATGGTGCTTACGGTCACCGTGGAACCCCTTGAGTTCGACGTTCTTCAGTTTGAATTTTGTTTTGAAACTGTCTGATTAGGGTTTTATAGTTACCTGAAATTAACCAAACCCCTTCTTTATCTCAGTGGTTGAAGCAATCTGTTATGCTATTTCCTCCAGATAATTTTTGTATTCGGAGCTTGTTCATCGTTTTTTTTTTTTTTTTGAAGAGTGTGTTTGATTTGGAGAAAGCTTTTAGCACATTAAAAAGAGAAATATAATTGACATGCAATATGGTTTGGTTGATCTTAATTTTGCTTTCTATACGTATGTGTTTGGGAATTCTAGTTGGGGGATGATTTTAATTATGAAATGTATTGGATTTCTAGCGATCTTCTGGAGTGGTCTTTCGTGCTACTGCTAACGCCCCTGAAATGGAAGGGGCGTATAAGCTCTCACTGAAGCTCACTATTTTACCTGTCATCACCATTCGAAAGTTCTATGTGCATCATCTTCAATCTTATCTTATAGTTCTACTAAGTGCCGTAGGCTGGCTAATAAAATATGATCTTACATTACATTAATTTTGTTATATATCTTAGCTTGATTATTAATATATGTACAGGGAATGTTTGGTCTGATGGTATCCCTCCACTTTCCAGGACATTAAAGAATGTTGGGCGCCAATGTTTAGTTCGCCAAGATCCTAGAATGTTGATTGCCTTAGAATCTAGAATATTCACATTGTTATGGCATCCCGTATATACTAGTGTGAGAATTATGGCATATGTGATTGTCCTCTCTTTTTTCTAATTAATTATCATTTTGTACATAAATCAGTTTGTGAAAGAGAAACTCTTCCTTTGGTTCCAGATTCTATAAATTCCCTGGAATTCCGTAAATCGGAAAGAATATTGATTGAAAAGGGATGCATGGAGAAAATGTGAAGCTCTTTTCGGATGGGTAAAATACTTGGGATTTGAACAAATATTTGAGTAAAGACTTATAGAAGAATACATTGAGTGATCTAGGTTGTGGCTTTGGAAAGCTTTCAAGAAAAGGGAATAAATGAAGCTTTTATATATATATATATATATTCATTGAATTACCAAAGAAATTGGAATGCTGTAAACGCTTAGCATATCGTTGAATTCAACTTGACCAAATCTGAAGAAGCACTCAGACTACATCACTCCCTTACCATCACTGAGTTTCTGGGTTCATGGTGTTCAATCTGGCTTTTCTGTTGCCGATTTCATTTTGTTATAGTTCGGTGTTCGTTGATTTCGTTTCCTTATTTTTTTAATTGATGTTTATAATTTGCTGGTTTTCTATTCATCAGCTCCCTTCCCCATGGAGGTGCATGTTGGTCGGGCATTGGGTTGCCATTTTTTTTTCCTTTTTTACAAGGGTAGGGGTAATATGATATTTTGGTATTGTAAATTGTAGATGTCAAATATTTATATTAGCATTCTATTAGCATACCAAACATGTCTTTAGAACTCATTTTCATTGTTTTAAGAAATAAAATTGATGTTCTTTGCCTTTTGGAAACCCGTGTCAGTGGTAGTAAAGCTGATTGGGTCATTTGTAAGTTTGGTTTCGATAATTGGATTCGGGTTGAAGCCACTGGCTTTGTTGGGGGATTTGGATCATGTGGAATGATCAAGATATCGCTGTTGATTATCTCTTTTCCACCACTCAACTGCTTCATTGCAAAGTGACTGACTTAAGAATAAATGATGCTTTCTTTACTACTTTTGTGTATGGGGAAACCGCTTATACTAAATGTCAACCTATGTGTGAATCCATTAACTGCATTGTCGAAAACATGGATGACCAATGGATGATTGTAGATGATTTTAATGCTTTTGGCAGTAGCAGTGACAAACAGGATGGTACTCAAGCGGTTAACCAATCCATGAACCAATTTAATAGTTGCGTGAGAACATCAAATCTCATTGAAATCCCTTTTATAGGTGATAAATTCACTTGAGAGAATGATAGGACTAAAGTTAGATTAGAATGGGTCTTTAGCAATGTCAATTGGGAGATGAATCATCCTAATGCTAGGACTAAATATTATTTAAAAATAATGAATGATATATATAAGAAGGGATTTGGTTATTGGAGAATCATATGAATTAGTGATCAGTAAACTAAATATATTGATGTTACCTTTTTGATATGGCACTAGTAGTTGGGGTGGCTTAGAATGGAGGCTTTAGATCAATGCAGAGAACATATATTACAATGATACGGAAATTTTTATCTGCCTTTTGGACTTTGGTGGTTGAGTAGACAATTTTACTTTATTACATTTTTTGGGGACTGTTGCAGCAAGGGATAAATGTTAATAACGTGCTGTAGAAAGAAATTTTAAGCAAATGAAGTGCATGTGGATTCATACTGTTCCACTGTAATTCCTTCAATGCATTTCCAAATTGTTTTTTGATATGGACTAAATTTTGATTTTGATATGCATCTTCCTTTTTTTCTTTCTTCTTGTTTTTTTTTGGGTGGTCAAGTTACTTTGCTGAAGTATAATTTCTGTGACCCAGGGATAAATGATAGGAAAAGGAGTTTTAGGAGAGCGCTTTCAACCCCGGACATGTTCTGGGAGCAATGCACCCAAAACTGGTCAGGCAAAAGGGAATTCCAAAAATGTTGTTATTGACATAGATGGTGATCAAGTTGATGAAGTGGTGATTATAGATTTTCCAGAGTATATGCAACAAAAATTGCATGGCTCTAGCTCACAGAGCAGAGACAGAAAGTATCCACTTCAGAGTGTCATCAGCATTGATGATGATGAGAGTGATGAAGCTGAACACACTGAAATTATTGCCGAAGGTGGCGGGGAATTGGATAGTGATGCCTCCTCAAGCAAACGATTTTCTCCTGCTCCAGGCTTTATGGGAAATTCCGTGCACATAGACGTTGATGATTGTCCTTCATCTGAGTTGCCAGAAAGTAGGAAAACAAGCTCTGCAAGAGCTGCTGACAGAAATCGTTATGGTTTAGATACCTCTGAAAGTGAGTCATCTGAGAGTGATTGTTCTGATTGTGAACTTATAGAAGTTTGTGAACAATGGGAAAAAGCTTCAATTAAAAGAAGACATCATATCTTTAATGATAGAACTGGATTTAATGAGCAGGCCAGTTCTTCTGGTTTGCATAGTAATTCTAATGCTGATATTGAAGTAGAAAATAGGACAGGACATGATGCAGGCACTTCCTCATATTCTGGTCCCAGCAATGTTAAACATACGATAAACCTAGCCCATACCGGTAACAACCAAATAGACGATGCTAATCTCTATATGGGGAAAGAATATCCTATTAAGGATTTTGGTCAGAAAATTAACCAAGAGAGTTATAAATTTTTTACGTTTGTGTCCACTGAGAAAATGCAATCTTTACACAAGACTTCTGATTCTGTGTGTGGAGAAACGAGTAGGAGTGGAGAATTTCCCCCTTTCTCCAAGTATAAAAGTTACGATGTTGCTAGTGATGCTGTTATGGATGCTTCAAAGCTCAATAAAGAAGCAGGTGATAAAGAGTCTAGATTTGTTAGCTCCACCCAAGAAGCAAGCAAAGGACAAAAGAGTGATGGAACTGGACTGAGGAACAGGGATGCCTATTTTTCTGACAGACATTCTGGCTGTGTCTATTTTGATGAAATGCAACTTAATCAAGATGGGCCTGTATCTCAAGAGTGTTGTGTGAGAGATATCATTAATGAAAGAGAAAAACTCAAGGAAACTGATGAATATAAGCAAGCCATAGAAGAGGAATGGGCATCCAGGCAGCGACAACTGCAAGTTCAGGTATTGCATGTGTGCCATTGTGTTTATTTTTTTTTCTCTAATATATGTATCCCTATTTTTCTTGGTGTTTGAAATCTGCAAAGCAATTTTACAAGGCAGGAGGGTCTGATTGGTGCAAATGCCAGTTCTTTCCCAATATTTTTGACTGTTTGTTATTGTCTCTATATCATTGTTTAGAGTTTAGGTTTCACTTTTGCATTCTTTGATAGCGTTCATATATTTTTCTTTCTCTTACTGTCGAACAGAATGATGAAAAGTGTGGCCACCATAGAGGTCTTCAAATGGCGTTTTAACTAGTGACCTTCCTATTGATTAATATGACTTCACTGTTTTTTTCCCCTCCTTAATTCTTTAGATGATGTCTCCTTTTTTTCTTTGAAGTTTAAACTGTAAATCATGGTATTCAAGACTGTGGTGTAGTTTTTCCCCCTTCCATTGCTGTCCATGGCTTGTGAATCTGTAAGGGTATAACAGTAAAATTGCTACTGGATTGAATATTACGTTGCTTTTATTTCACCATCTCGAATTCAATTTTCTTACTAAGGTCATGTGTGACATAAGCGCATGGCTAAAATGCTGCACTGTCTAGTTCAGTTGCTTTTTTTATGTATTTTAAGCTTCTTTTTGCCTCATGTTTCTATATTCGTGCGTGAGACTTTTTGCTATGCCTTGTGCCCAGGATTGATGAATTTATAAATATGTTTCTGATGCTTATTTGGCTGTTTGATGCTTCCAATGCTGGTAAAAACTTCTGTGATATTTTGCATTACTGATATGGTGCATTTTCAGATCTTTTTTTATTGGGCGGATATGTGCATGATTTTGTTGTTATTCAACAAACCTTTTCAAAGAAAAAAAGTGGCTTACAAGGATCAGCCTCGAACTTATTTAGTGCATATTGTTCTAGTAAAAATTGGCCCCTTCATGGGGTTTCCAGCTCCTTATTATATATGCATGACTACCCTTAAAAGAGAGCATCTTTTTCCGTTGCCATATTGAAAGTGCTTATGGTTTCTTGTGTATTACAGTTATTTGGTCTTAACATTATATTCCCATGTCTATTGGTGCCTATTGTATGTGCAATTTAGTTTCCTACTCATGCTGTTTTCATAAATTGATGTTTGATAGACCTAATCGCATTTATATAGTTTTATTGCAACATAATATTAACATGCAGTTTTAAATTCACTTAAACCAAATGATCATACATGTCCCTTTCAGGCAGAGGAGGCACAGAGGTTGCGTAAAAGAAAAAAGGCTGAAAGTAAGCGCTTACTGGACATGCAAAGAAGGCAAAAAGAACGGATTGAAGAAGTCAGAGAGACGCAGAAGAAGGTTGTAATTATGTATTTAAAATTTTCTAACAATGTTTGTTGTCCTGATTGGTTTCATGCATGTCAATTTTTTTTTCGTGTTCCTTTGATTTTTTTACCTCCTGCCTTTATGTTTGGCCATTTGGAAATTTACTTTTATGGACATACATAATTTAGACACGGAATTTTTTGCAACTGCAAAGTTTTTCTCATTCAATTTAGTAACTTGTGCCAAATTCAGGATGAAGAAAATATGAACATGAAAGAGCAACTGCGGATTGAAATAAGGAAAGAGCTTAATAAATTGGAGATAACATGCGTGGACATGGCTTCGTTGCTTCGTGGCTTAGGAATACAAGTGGGAGGAGGCTGTAGTCCCTTGCCACAAGAGGCAAGTTTTTTTTTTTTTTTTTTTGGTTTTTATGTAGTTTGTCTATTAACTGGATATGACGTGTGTTGACATGGCTTCTAGGTTTGGGTTGTCTAGTTTTATATTCTGTATAGAAAATCGATCTTTCTTCTGGCTTTTTTTTACTGTGTTCTGTGTTTTGTTAAAGATATTTCTCTCTCTTAATGGTCATTTCAGGTGCATGCAGCTTATAAACGGGCCTTACTAAGGTTTCATCCTGATCGGGCGTCAAAAACTGACATTCGAGAGCAGGTGGAGGCTGAGGAGAAGTTCAAGCTTATCTCTCGCATGAAGGAGAAATTTTTGACAACTTCATGTTTCTGAGTGCTAGCAACTTATAGAATATGGTTGTTGGCGTTTTAGTTGAGGTGCTTTTACTTCACAGCCTATGATTTTGTTTTTTTTTAGTTATTTAATTTGTCATTTCCTCCTGCCCTCCCAAAAACATATACGAAGTTAGTGAAACATACAAAATCATGTAAAGCTGCCATCTGTCGTTTATAGATTGCCATTTTTTGGAGGATGGGTAACCAAGGTCATCCTCTCTTCATGGTACCACTTGCATATGTTAATGTCAACATTTTAAAGCTTGAGGGTTTTTCTAGAGAGCAAATCCTGGGCCTCCACTAGGGTTTTCCATTTAGGCACCGTTTGGTATGAGAGAATGGAAGCCAAGGAAAAGAAATGGTTGAGGGAATGAGTTATTTAACATGTTTCATATGTGGGGATTCTTCTCCAAAAGAATGTTTGACTCCTTTGTTCTTCAATCCTGGGAGTGAAGTGGAAATTCTCTGATCACAATGCCCTTGTACGAAATCTAAAATTCCGCAAGGTCTCAATCTGTATTGCCTTATTGCAAGCCTGAAGAATAAGTTGATAAGCATCGACCAGGTATGAAGCACTCCCGATCAGTAGGCTTGCGACCATGACAAGAAACTCGATCTAGATCGGTAGTGAGAAGGAATCAAAACAAGGATGGTGACCGATTTTCGTCCTCCATTTCTGACCACCATTGACCAAATCTGAAGAAGCACTCAGACAACATCACTCCCTTACCATCACTGAGTTTCTGGGTTCACGGTGTTCAATCTGGCTTTTCTGTTGCTGATTTCATTTTGTTATAGTTCGGTGTTCGTTGATTTCGTTTCCTTAATTTTTTAATTGATGTTTATAATTTGCTGGTTTTCTATTCATCAGCTCCCTTCCCCATGGAGGTGCATGTTGGTCGTGCGTTGGGTTGCCATTTTTTTCCTTTTTTACTAGGGTAGGGGTAATATGATATTTTGGTATTGTAAATTGTAGATGTCAAATATTTATATTAGCATTCTATTAGCATACCAAACATGTCTTTAGAACTCATTTTCATTGTTTTAAGAAATAAAATTGATGTTCTTTGCCTTTTGGAAACCCGTGTCAGTGGTAGTAAAGCTGATTGGGTCATTTGTAAGTTTGGTTTCGATAATTGGATTCGGGTTGAAGCCACTGGCTTTGTTGGCGGATTTGAATCATGTGGAATGATCAAGATATCGCTGTTGATTATCTCTTTTCCACCACGCAACTGCTTCATTGCAAAGTGACTGACTTAAGGATAAATGATGCTTTCTTCACTACTATTGTGCATGGGGAAACCACTTATACTAAACGTCAACCTCTGCGAATCCATTAACTGCATTGTCGAAAACATGGATGACCAATGGATGATTGCAGGTGATTTTAATGCTTTTGGCAGTAGCAATGACAAACAGGATGGTACTCAAGCGGTTAACCAATCCATGAACCAATTTAATAGTTGCTTGAGAACATCAAATCTCATTGAAATCCCTTTTATAGGTGATAAATTCACTTGAGAGAATGATAGGACTAAAGTTAGATTAGAATGGTTCTTTAGCGATGTCAATTGGGAGATGAATCATCCTAATGCTAGAGCTATCCGTCATGTTAGATATTGTTCTGGCCATAGGCTAATTTTGGTGCCCAACTTTGATAATTTCCGAAGGGATAGAAGGGACAAATTTGTTTGTCATTCTGCTTGGTTCCTCGAGGATGATTTTGCTGCCTTAGTTGAAGGTGATTGGAATGGTTATGATTGGTTTGAATGATTATCAAATATCTCCTTAAAGGCTAAGGTTTCGAATAAAGAAAACCTAGGCAGTAAACCGTAAAAAACAAAGAAGTTTGAGAAGGCGAGGAGGAATTGACGAGGCCCGAATGAAAAATGAAAGGAATGGGCTTAAGAGACAGGAAAAGTTGTGGCATGAGTACTTGATAAATTTGTCTCAATCGAGTCGACATTTGATTAAATTAAAATTGATTTAATATAATATAGATTAGTTTTAGATAATTTTTTTTCAAGAAGCAATTTAGGGATTATTTTAAATTTTTTAGGTGTTTAAAAACTAATGCAAAAAAAAATCTAAAGTTAAATACTAGATTCTACACCAAAATGTAAATGAGAAAATGTAATTTATGCTATTAAAACTACCTAAATGGATGTTAATATTAATGTCTAATAGCTAAATTCTAATATGCAATACATGAGTCCTAAATTATGATGGGGGTTTTTGGTTCAAAAAAATGAAATGAAAGCTAAAGAAATTAATTAAATGACAAAAAAGAATAATTAATCAAAAATTAAGAAAAGTTTGATTTAATTATGATAAAAGAGACAACTTAGGACTTAAAATGAAGTTAACTTTTCTAGCCCAAATCAATTAGTCGGACCAAAGGGAAATGATAGGAGAATGAGATTAATAAATTCAATTACTTAACTAAAGCAAAGGAAACCCACAAGTATAAAGTTTGACACTTAATCTATTAAAAAACTCATAGTGAATCAAACATTACAACTATGAATTAGGAAAATTAAATTTATTAAAATCAATGATGATTAATTCAAAATAATTCTAAAAAATATGTTTAAATTATTTAATTGAACAATTAGATAAATTACCAACTTAATTGAACAATTAAGAGGTAAAAGAAATTACCCAAATTTGCAACAAACACCACAATGACAATTAAATCAACAATAAAAACTCAATTATTGATTTAATTGGCAAAGCAAGAGTAGTAAATATAAATTTCAGAAATTCATTTAACACAAAATTAATTCAAATATCAATTTAATTTAAGATTCAAAACAATATTTATAACCTAAAACTAGATTGTACTAAAGCATTACAATTTAGAATCATTTAAAATTAAATAATTCTAAGTTCTTGAATTAAAAAGATAAATGAAAAATCACTCTTCAATAGTCTTCAAGTGCAAATCTTAAGCTCTAGCTTCGTCTATATTCATTTCAAGTTGTCTTCCAAGCTAGCTCAAGCTTTCAAGGATGGTGCTCTCCCTCCAAGCTCCAACCAAATCACAGCCGTCAGATGAGGTGGCGTGAATGGAAATTGGTGTGGGTGAGAGATATTGGTGAGGTGTGAAGGTCGTGGATTGAAAATAGAGAAGAGAAGAAGATGACGTTGTTGGTGTCAGGGATACAATGGAGATGGCGTAGTGGTGAGTAATGGTATGCTGTCGATGGAAGAGGATGAAGCTCAATGAAGAGGCTGGATGAGCTCGCTGAAAACTTAAAAAAGGAAAATGGATGAGGATAGAGCCATCCGAATGGAGGTGGCGGCTGTGTGGGTGAAGAATTAAGCAAATTGATCCAATGGCTAGAAGAGTGGATAGGAGTTTAAGAAAAATCTCTACCATTGAAATCAAAAAGAGCTAGTAAGAAAAATAAAATAAAAAGAAAAGTGTACAAGTTCTCTAATTTTTTTTGATTGAAAATGTCCAGTGCACAAGTCCTTCATTTTGTTGTTTTTTTTCATAACCTTTTGATGCTCTTTTAAGTGTCAAAATTTAATCTTCACTATTGAGTTTTATTAATTTTATCTTCAAATCCTAAAATATTAAATGCACTCATTAGTATAGATTATATCTAAAATAAATCCCATGTCTCATAAAATATTATCAAATTATTTTTTTAGAAATTATAATTTTCTCATAAAATGGTCACAAACTCAAAGAATATATAATAATTTAAATTAAGCTCAATTAATGATTGAAAAAAATTAATCCATGTTAAAAATATGACAATAAAATATTCACAATACAAGGTCAAAATTCCTATAATTAATTCAAAAATATATTATTCCTCAAAATTGACTAATAATCCAAATAATATCTAATAAATTCAAAATAGCCCAAAATTATCATTAAAATGTATGGAAAAGGTGGGATAAATATATAAAATCTATTATTCATCATATGAGTATCATAAATTACGTGCTCGAGAAGAACTTATTTGGTTTCAAAAGTCTAGGGCTAATTGGTTGCAATGGGGAGATAGAAATATCAAATTTTTTCATGCCACAACTAAGATTAAAAGAAAGAGAACTAAAATTCTAGCTTTAAAGGATGAGAATGGAGAATGGGTTATAGAACCAAATGTTTTGAAATTCATGGCCAGCACCTACTTCAAAGACCTTTATACTAAAGTCCAAAATGTGTCTAACTAAAGTATAGGGGCAGCAAACTTTCTTGCCATCATGGATTTTGACTTAAGAGAAATTCAAAAAGAAGTGTCTAATATTGAAATTAAGAATGCAGCCTATGTTATAGGGGCTTTCAAAGCCCTAGATCCTGATAGAATCCAAGCACACTTCTTTAAAAAACAATGGCACCTTATGGGAAACAAGATTTGCAATCTAGTTAAGAATACTTTTGAAGACCCATCCAAAGTCAAGAAGGTTAACCAAACTAATATGGTACTCATTCCTAAGATTGACAATCCCTCATCTCATAAGGATCTCCCACCAATCTCTCTTTTGCAATGTAAGTTTCAAAATTGTCATTAAAATTCTTGCTGCAAGATTGAAAAGGAGCATGAGTTATTTTATTAAACCTCAATAGTGTAGCTTCATAAAAAGATAGAGCAATGACAATATCATCATTGCCCAAGAAATAATCTACTCTATGAGAAATAAGAATAGAAGAAAGAGTTTTGTGTCCTTAAAAGTTGATATGGAAAATGTGTATGACCGGTTGGGTTGGAAATTCCTTGAGGATACTCTCTCCAAAATTGGATTAGATACCAAAATCATCAATCTCATAATGGCTTGTGTATCTACGAACATCATGAAAATTCTGTAGAATATTGAAGAGACCCCTCAATTCTCTCCTTCTAGAGGACTCAGATAGGGAGATCCCTTGAGTCCCTATCTCTTTGTACTATGTATGGAAAGACTTGGCCGTGCTATTGAAGAGAGTGTCAGAAAAAGAGATGGAAACCTTTTACTTTTTCTAGTAAAGGTCTAGCTCTATTTCATTTTTTTTTTGCAGATGATCTCCTCCTTTTTTTTGAAGCTTTATTGGAACAAATAGAAGTGATTAGAGAGGTTATGACTAATTTTTGCAATGTCTCTGGACATAAGTGAACCAAGCAATCGCACACTTAGCAATTTAAATTAGATTAATCAACTATATAATATAGTGGCAAGCTAAGTCATCTCCTAAAGAGGTGTTTAAAAATTAAATCCAGATTTTCTTAACGTAATTAAATTAAAATAAAATTCACAAGAGTTCATTGATTATAATTGATTAAAACTAAAACACTAATTAACCTAATTAAAGCTTAAAAACCTAAGCTAATGAGTTTGTGAAAATGAGATGAAATAGGATACTTGAAGTTATATTGCTCAAATTCTAACCATTTATGATATGTGAATTAGTCACCCTTAATTCTTCTCTTTCTAACTAAATTATAAAGCTACTAGGATAATTCTCTCTAACAACTTAACTTCACTATGAACCCTAATTAAGCTTAGGATTCTAGAGCCCAATTCAACTCTCTAATTTAATTTTAGGCCCAAGTTAGGTGATTAATGGCAAATTCTAGCAAGTATGTTTAGCCCTTTATAACACAAATTACCCCTGAAATTATCGTAAATCACAAGTAAGCCAAACAAATATTCCTCAAGATTGTGATAAAATATAAGTTAGGTTAAAACACTCAAGAATATTCAAAATTATGACACATTCAAGAGTGATTGTAATATATAGCTCAACATACCAAATGAAATTTAACAATAATCAAATCAATCTCCATAAAAAAATATCAATTAAGATTATGATTGTAAATCCAAAACATAGCAATCCAATATCATAGTTTTACAAGTCTATTGTAACATCCTGATTTTTATATAATAAATAAATTGTGGAATTTAGGTTTTGAAAAAAAAATGATAATAATAGGAATTTATATTATTTGAGGTTATTTAGAAATAATATTATGATTAGGTATTTAATTATAAATTTAAAAATTTAAATTTAAAACCACATAAGTAATATTTAGTTAAGATATAATACATAAATAATTTTTTTTATGTGTGTGTTAAAAAAAAAAGAGAAGGTAGAAGGAACAAAAAAAAAATGGGGGGGTGGAAGGTTGTTGTTTCTAAGTCCCACATTGGTTAGATGAGGGAAGAGAAGAGGTGCCTTCATGTATAAAAAGGAGGGGGTGTGTGCATTAGGAAGCATGAGAGGTTAAGATGCAATTTAGAGAAAATTGCAACTTTGGGCCCAAAGGTTTGAATAATTAAATTCAAACCTATAGTTTTTTTTTATATAATTTTGGGACTCACAATCCCATTTTTATATTATTTTTTTCTCTTCCTCTCACGTTGCTCGGCGTTTTCTCGCAAGGGGAGATTATTTTCTTTTTTCTTCAGGTATGTTCTAACTTTCCTGTTTAGATTAGCATTTAAAAATTTATTTAATTACAAAATTAATTTTATAGTTATTTTTTAATAATATTAGCTTTCTAGTGATATGATTATTTTGTAGGATAGAGTAAATATTTTGATTAGGATTTTTTCTATAGGATAGTAAATCTGATGATATGATGGATTAAAAATATAGATTAAAACTCTTAGGGATATAATAAATATTATAGAATATTTTCTTGAGGTTGAAACTCATGTTTAAGAATTTTTGAGTTAAAATCTAGATCTATATGGTTGAATTTATGTGGAATCTGAGATGTAGGGATAAACCTATGATTATTAAATATTTATTTAAGTATGAATAGGTATTTTTGAGGTTATAGAAAGGTGATTTGAGGCTTCAGGATAATTTTAAAAATTTAATTTATTTTTGGACGAATTTTTAGAATATAGAAGGATGAAATTGTGATACTAGAAGTGATTTGAGGATAAAAAAAATAGTTTATTAGGGTACGAGAATTTTAGAAAAGAATTTGGGAAGTTAAATGAGGCATAAATCTTAAATTAGTGTTAATATGGATTATAGATCTAAGACTTTCTAACTATTTAAATTAGAGTTATTTATTTTAATGTAAAATTAATATATAGTATTGTGAAATAATTATGTAGATTATATTGACAAAGATAGTGGTGAAAAAGGAGTTGTGAAGGGGAACTTGTTATTCAAGACACAAGGTAACCATTATTAATGTGTTGTGATGAGTGTGTTTGTGAATGGTTATGTGTTGTTTTGTTGTTTGGAAAAATTATGAATTATTGAAAATAAATACTGTATATACTTGTTTGAAATTATTGCCAAGTGGGTTAAAAATTTATTTTTGTTTATCATGATGAGATATTATTGTTCGGATATATTTCTGTTTGGATATTTGAATGATGCATGACTTGTCAGGGTATTTTAATGTATGGTGTTAATGGGAATTTCTGTTCGGTTAATTATTACCACGTGGTAAGCCCTCATTGGACCCAATGAGTGGCGTGTCGCTTGGTCCAACTCACCTTTGGCCGGGTGATTTGGCGTCCGAGCATGGCGAAAGGAGGATATAAGGTGCAGTCATGCAAATTAAATACTTGTTTGGTTTGTTTGAAAGTATTGTTCGGTTAAATGTTTTGTGTGCCCACTTAGCAATCGCATGATTAGTTACATCCGCATGCATCATTACATATTAATTTTTGATTACTGGGACTTTTAAGTCTCATTCCTCGTGGTTAATATTTTTACAGGAGCGAGTCCGGCCGAGAAAGCACCAGAGGTGTAACTGTGGTGTATGAGACACCATCTTTTACGTTGCCTCTTATTTTAGATTATACAATGTATCTTGTGCCAACTTAGGACATATCTTCTTTGTGAAGCATGTAAACTCTAATCCTTTTTATTAAAAGTATTTATATGACCAAGAGGATTATGTCTGTCGCTCTTGATTTATGATCTGATTTGAATAACATGCTATGAGGATCATGTCTGTCCCTCATGGTTCTAATTGTTTTTTTGAGATATTTTAAGACCTGTGGTATATTGTCTTGGATGTATCGTGGTAGAAATTTTTCTACCATGATAAGGGTTCAATGAAAAAAATAAAAAATAAAAAAAAAGGATTTGTTGAATTAATAACTTGTGAAAAATCGGTCTGTAAATTTAAGGGTGTTACATCTATTAATAGAGAAAAATTAAGAGAAAAATAAAAGGGTTACAAAGTTGAAGATCCAAGTGGTTCATTGAACTTTCATCCTCTTCCAAGCACCCAAAATGATTTAGCCTTTAAAGTTCTTCAAATCCTCCATGAAAAGCTCAAGTTGGCCAAACCCATTCATAGAGCCAAGTAAAGAATGAAGCATGAAATGGATGATCAAGTGGTGGGGATGTGCAGAGGGGAGTGAGAGAAGAAGCATGGGAGTGATTTGGTGATGATCCAATAGTTAGATGAAGAGAAATGGAGGAGAGAAAGGGGCTGCCATAGCTGAAAAAATGAGAGAAAATAAAGAACAAGAGAGAGAATGTAAAATGAAAATGAAGGAGGTGGTGAGAGATTGTGTGTGTAGTGGCTAGGTTATTTCCTTAGTGAAACAGGCTGATTGTCCGTGCAATTCCAACTGCAAATGAGGGGAAAAAATAAAATAAAATAAAAAGAAAAAGAAAAGGCTAAGGTGAGGCACACACTTCCCACATGCTCAAATAGGTGGCTATTTCTTATTGGCTCAAAGGAAATATCCTAAGTGAGAATATTCTCATTTATCTCATCAAATGATCTGATTTTTCTCCCTTTTCCAGCCCCAAACTGATGCCAATCTTGCCTATTTTAGCCTTCTTCTATGATTCTTGACCTATTACAAAAGTCCAAATCCACATGTGCTATCTAAGTCACAAAATAAATACAAAAGCAAAGTCAAATATTCATGTGACCTAATAATTAAATTCTTTCACATAGAATTAATTAACTAGCATGGGAAAATATTAATGAAGTAGAATCCAATGGTAGTGACATGTGAAAGTTTATGCAAGCATATAAAACTCTAATTCGGTCAACAATCCTAAAATGTGGTTTTTATTTTATAACTCTCAAACCAAACTGAATTTTGAAAAACTAATTTCATATTCATTCTTCTAGACATAAAATATATGGAATACAACATTAACCCAATTTTTCATAAGAAGTGTAATTTTTGACCAAAATATCTCTAGTGCACAATTTTGCCCCTTAGGCAATTTTCTTGCTTTTGACATCATAAATACACCAAAATGGAAAATAAAAAATTCAAAATGGGTCCTAAATGAATGGATAAAGTGGGTAAAATATGAGTCTTATCAACAAGGTGAACATGATTAAGTCAAAACTCTTTTATTCTACAAATATGAGTATCTATATACCCATGGATTTGTGTTAGGAGGTAGCGATAGGACTTACTGGTGACCTTGAAAAATATCTCGGTGTCTTACTTCTCCACACTAGACCAACCAAAACTAATTTTGAACCCCTTGTTAATAAGGTAAGGAAGATATTATCTTCATGGAAAGGCAACTTCTTAAATATGGCAAGCAGAAGTGTTCTCATCAAATCAGTTTTGTCCGCCATCCCTACTTACTACATGCAATTTATGCTGTTGCCTAAAGGAATCCTGTGTGAAATTGAACAAATTAGTAGAAATTTTCTGTGGAATCAATTTGATGAAGCAAGAAAACCCGATCTTATTGCTTGGAGGAACTTTAAAAGAGACAATAAAGAAGGCGGCTTAGGCTTCAAGGATCTCCATAAGCAAAATAGAGCTTCATGTTTAAACTCTATTGGGGAATTATTTATCATCCTGAGTAGCTTTAGGTGTAGCGTCTTAAAGCGAAATATGAATGGGATAAAGGAGGTCATCTAACAATCTTGAAGAAGCAGTGCTCATCAGCCACTTGGGAAGGAATTATTGAAGTGTGGGATGACTTCAACAGATTTTGAGTGGAAATGAAACCGAATTTTGGTGGGACTTTTGGGCTAATTTGGAACAACCCCTTATTACCTATGTCATTGCTGGGAGTAATATAGGGAATCCACGAGCTATGGTTAAAGACTTTGTTGATAGTACTGGTGGTTGGGATATATCTAAATGGTTTCATTGTTTGCCTATTAATATCGTCAGTTAGCTTAGAAAAATCAACCCTTCTAAAGTTATAGGTGAAGACATGTATAGCTGGATGGGTTCGTCGGATGTTAATTTCTCTGTCAACTCTAGTTATGTATTCCTTCAGAGATTGGAAACTGATTGAACCTAGCCTAGGAGGGTTAAATTCTAGAGGTGGCCTATTCCTAAGAAAATTGAAACTTTCTTCTGGCAAGTGTCTCATGAGAGACTTCCTTCAAATTCCCTTGGAGCTAAGAAAGGCATCATGCTAGATTATTTATGTCCCTTTGAGTGTGGGAGAGAGGAAGATATTATACAGATTCTCCGTGATTGTGAGATAGCGAAAATTGTGTGGTGTCATTGTTTAAATCCTAACATGTTTCCAAATTTCTTTTGTAATGATTTACAGTTGTGGCTTAAATGGAATTCAACCCACAACCCCAGGACACGTTACTAGTAGCAGTGGCCTTGGTTTAAAATATTTAGTACAGTTTGCTGGACATTTTGGACAACTAGATGCAAAAAAATTTTCAGAGAAAATCTTCTTCATCAAATGAAATTATCCAAATTTCAACTGCACAACTCACTAAGGAATCAACACATGGAAGATTAAAACGCAAGATTTTTCATCCTCTGATGAGCTCTCAAATGAAATGGAGTTTGCCACCACATGACTTTATTTGAGTTGATGCTGATGCTTTCATAACCATTGGAAAACAAGCTTCATGTGGAGGTGTAATTAGCGATTCTAGTGGTTTGTGGATCTGTGGTTTTCAAAGAAATTTGGGCCTAATGAATATAACCATTGCAAAAATTTTAGCAATAAAAACAGGTTTAAAAGTTTGCAAGTTAAAAGATTTCTCGAGAATCAAACTCTTGATTGACTTTTTTGAAGCCATATTCTGATGAGAGATGTAGGTTGTGAGAATATATTTAGAGAAAAGTTGGAACAAACTAGAGAACTTATTTTCTCTGATTGGGATGTTAAGATTGCTCATGCCTATAAGGAATGTTTGGAAGTGGCTGATAAACTTGCCAGGGAAGCTCATGGTGTGGTTATGCCTACTTATTGTAGAGAAGTTGGCTCACGTGGGCCTTTTGGAGGAAATTAAGTTCCCCTTTTGACGGTTCTTGGCTTTACCTGTTAGTTGGTTTTATTTAAGGTCTCCTGATTTCTTTGTTCTAGTGTAATTTCTTTTTCCAAGCTTCTTGCTTGCCTTTTGTACTAAAAAGAAAAAAAGAACTCATTTTCGTTCTTATTTTCATTTTCTTTTGGCCATGTTTGATATCATAGAATTGTGAGTAGAGAAATAGAATCAAACATAAAATTGTTCAATTAACTTGTTTGGTATGCTAGAATTGTTTTCTTAAAGAAATTTGATTCTATCAAAATTGATGGAATCCAATTCTATTGTAACAGTCAAGAAATTGACAAACTCAATATAAAATTGACTTGTGTCATTAAAAAAAATAAATAAAAGGATATTTTGAGTTTAAAAGTACCTTCTTTATTTTTTCATTGTTAAGTTTTTCATTACAAAAATAAAATAAAGGGTGTTTTAATTTTTTTTATTTTAAATACATATACTTATTAACATTATATCATGATTTCATCTTTATATCAAACACACTTTTAAAACTCAATTTAATTTTAATTTTGATTTCAATTCTAATTTCAATTTCAATTTCAATTCTATCAAAAAACTCTTTTATCATACCAAACAAGACCATTATATTTTCATTTCCTTCATATTCATTCATGTATGCCAAGGTAGCCTTACTATGATGTAGCTAAATTTAATAGAAGTGGCTCTTGGGCTTATAGAGATGAATATGGAGACTTGTAGTATTTAGTGCCATCAGTGAAATTCAAACTTGGATTTAAGTAAAATGTTCTCGACTTCTTTCAATGATTTTTCTTCTGTTCCAAATTTTAAACCAATTTTTTAAGCATATGGAATTTTCTCTATTCCACTGAATGATTGAATGTGTGCATGCCATCGGGAGTGTGTAACTAGAACCTGACAATCTTTAAAAGTGTTAATAAAAACTTTAGTATGTGCGTAAATTATATTTATATCTATAAATTAATGAGAGGACCAAATAAGTTAAGAGAGTAAACATAAAAAACTTCGCTTCAATTTTTTAAAATGGAAACAGATTCTATATACTAAATAGAAATAAATAATTACTAAGAGAATTAGAAAGACAAGGTACAAATTGAAGGGATAAAGGCCTAAAAAGAAAAATTGAAATTATGTTTATTTTGTGGGGGGAGTGGAGCGAAATTATGTTAACAAAAAACGCTCGTTATAACAATTTTCTTCATGCCTTATCCATTACTTTTTGGACAAATTACACCTATGTCTTACAGAACAGAACTTATTCTTAAAAAGTCCCATGAATTCATAAAACACTCATAAATCTTGTGCATTTACAACTTGACAAAAGACATCAATAACTAAGCAATGGCTATTTTCCTTTGCAAATTATAAATACCCATTGTTCAATTGTTAATACCTTTTATCAAATTATAAATGCATCAAATTTAAAATTTGAGAGTATTTTGTAAATTTATAAGACTCCTTAATAATAAATTCTCTTTTGCTGAACCTGGGTGTAATTTTCCCTTACTTTTTCAGATCCATTTTGTCCTATTAAATTTCATGTGGCCAATTGAAAGTTGTGCACTGCACACCACCGCGCGCGCACGGATACAAATTTTTAGATATGGAATCTGGAGATGACATGCATCTGAGATGGCTCATAAGTTTTTGCATTCAACTCCATATATATCTTGATCCCCTCTTCTACAGAAATCTTGTAAAAAGATGGAGTTCTTTAAGCATAAAATCGAAATATATATAGGAAGTTATCAAAATTGATAACAAATTAATATAATTACTAACGACTAATGTAATAAAATAGAAAACGAAACAAGCAAGCAATAGAATCATCATAAGCCAGGTTTACCTCCTCCTCTTGCTTCCTTTTCCCAGCTGTCCAGATTTAAAAGCATGCTCTTGTTCTTGAAGGAAAGCCCTTGCTCTTCCATACTTCTCTGCTCTTTCTTCATCATATAAAGCCTTCTCTTTTTCCCTCACGTCATACAAGAAAGCACTGTCTTTACGCAATTCACTAGCAGCCCTCTTTGATTCACGTTTCAAAAGTTTATACAATTTTCTCCTCTGAGCTCGTTCACGATCTGGATCATAGTCTCTACCCTTAACATAGCTGCACGGCATATTAGACTTTTCATTAATAAAAGCTTGATTTTAGGCCTGAGCCCGTTTAATGACTTGCACGTTCAATATAAAAACCTGAGCAATGAACACAAAGAGCTTACTTCTCCTCAAACTTTGGATTCAATAGCCTGATAGGTTCTGGTTTTCGCTTCCGCATTTGAAGTGGTCGCCTAGTGGTGTGCTGTTCATCCACTTTTGACTTAATCAGCTCGGCAACATCTTCAATTTTATCATGAAGTGCATTTGGTGTATTTTTCTCTTTTGCCAGTCGACGTAATGATGTCAAAACTGGTAAAAAGATTTCAGGAAATGAACTTAAACCATCATAGATATTGACATAGCCCCGTAGAGTTTCGATAACTGCTACCAATACACTAGCCCTGTAATTAAAATACGTAAGGTTAACAAAGCTATAAACTTTACTGAGGGGGGAAATATTAATTCAACGGATTGCAGATACGATAGATAAATATTTGCTTGATCTAGTATCTTTCCGCCTGAAATTATAGCTACAACATGAATATAAGTAACCAGATCTTGACAAAGCAACTTGTGCCTAAAGATATTAGATTCTTTATGAAGCATAATTGCATAAGCAAGCGAAGAATTGACAGAGCTAGAAAATGTCTTGTAATGAACAAAATTGTGTATAAGGAAAACATGGCACTATAAGTACAATTAACCCCTAAACTATAACTTTATAACAAAATTAGCACCTAAACTTCAAAATTTAAAACTTTGCCTTACTGAAAGGCGAAACTGTTGTCCACAGACTGAATTTAATGTCCAGTACCACGTGAAAAGAAAAGGCAACCTCTGTGATTTGAGTAAAATGAGGTAATTCAAGCTATCTATTTTGAGACAAACAACCCTCATTCAAAGAGATCTTAGCAATCTCGACAATTAAACGTTTAAATTTGACAAATGGATAATTGTTTTTACCTTTCATACGATAGTTCAGGGGACATATTATGTTTTCAAGTTAAAATACCAATATTGTATGCCATCAGCATAATTAGTTTGTTTACCTGAAATCATCTGAAGAGAAGAAAGGAGAGTCCTCTGGCGTGTTTATCATCTTTATGAAATCCAAAGGACTAACCTCATTTACCGTCTCTTGCATGCGCAAGAGATGCTTGGTAGTTTTCAGTTCTACAAGTTGATAAAACTGAAGGAGGACAATTAAAATAGTCATTACACATGCCTCCATGAAATTTAGTTACCTTCATAAAGCTTACACAACACCACAAATCAAATAAAGTAATAAAAACCTAATTCAAGATGCAGCTAGGTTATAGATGCAGTCAAGATTTAAACTTTAGCTTCCAAAATAACTTCTTTTGCATAACAATCAATCAACTCATCTGAATGGAATTTTAAATGGAAATTCAGAAATAAGATTCTCTTTGATTCATGCTATATGTCTTGAGATTGCAAATCCAAGCACAGAGACGATTCACCTATAATTCAAAGGAATCACATGATCTGTCTTCTTGTTTTCATAACAGCATCAAAAGAATTGAGAGAAGTCATTATCCTTTCCAATAAAATGTGCCAATACATTGAAAACCAGACATGTAAAATCATTTAGTACAGCTTGCATTTATACTCTCAAATTTAGGTCCAATAACAGCTCAAGATATGGAAAAGTGATGTTAACGATCCTCTTTCCTCACCTCCCAAATAAAAACTAACATATCATTCACAAACATTATCAGTATCAAATTATGTTTCAAATTGTAGTCAATGAAGCATAAAGTCATACCTGAGAATCTTCACCTGAAATGGATTTTTCTTCAGTAGCTATCACCAGCAGAGTTCTGAGAAAAATTATGGCTTCAGGACAGAACTTCCGTGACTGTTTAAATATCTGTAATTCAAAATAAGTACATGAGCAAGCAAATCAATCAGTATGACGGTATCAAGTTAGAAAATGAAAAGAAAAAAAAATTAATAGCAACAGAATCATCTAAACAACATTTAAAGTTTCGGGAAATTCATTGTCAAGTTTTAAATATTTAAGAGTTTATTTGCAGACGATCAAAAATTTAGGGAGTTGAGCATAATTTAGCCCAAAAAAAAAAGGTTTAAAGGGTTAATTCACCACAACATGATAATTATCAGCATTCAAAAAGACTAAGATCATGATAAAATTCAAAAAATGTACACCAGAATATTGTTGTTGATGTCAAATGGAAACAGCAAAACATAAAAACAACAAATAAAACATCTTGCTTGAAGATGTACTCACAGAGAGAAGCATGGAGCATAAGAAAGCACCAATGGCAGCATCCCGACCAGACAATATTGGGCAGCGCATCAGATATTCACACATCAATAATATTGCTAGCGTCATAACTGGATGCCGAAAGTCAGAGCACGGAAATATCAAGGACCACAACCGCAAAAGAAATATCATCTTGGAAGAAGGCCAACTGCTACTTTCTGAGACAACATAAAAGATTTAAAAACAAAAAAACAAAAAAAGTGTCACAAAAGCATATACAGTTTCACGTTCTTGTTAATAGGCAACACAGAATATACAACTATTACATTTACATTCTAACCTGGGTTCTTTAAGCTCTGAACCAATTGTTTTCTTGCCCTTTCTATTCTTTGACGAGCACATATAGTAGCGAAAAATGGAATCTCCATGCTCATTTCTATCAATGGCTTCCCCATCAAGTTTAGTAACTCAAAATTCAATGGCTTTTTATTTGCCAAAACAGCAAAATACTGCAGTAAATTGCCATAAAATACCTACAAAGAGAAGTCATGTTATAAATATTGACTATAAAATGAATCTTTAATAATCGTACACAATTTTATAGTAAATTATTTAGAACAGCAGGTCAGAGAGAGTCAGTTAATGTCCAAGTGTCCAAAGTTAGTCTAAGTGCTACGTCAGATGGTAAAAGTAGAATAAACCCCAAGAAAATGCATCATAACCATGAGCTATCCCTTTGCATATCCATAAGGGACAACCCCTGTCCTATAATAAATTACTGAAACTTGGGAGGCAGATAAAAATTAACCCCAAAAGAAGATCTGGTGAGATCTCTTATCTTGTTCTAACAATAAACTTAGCCAAAGGACTTTTTTTTGGACAATAGCCAAAGGACGTTAACTAGCCCATCTTCCACAAAATGCTGTGAACTAGTTTTATCTTGGATCACTGAAAATTTGGAGTCAAGGGCTATCCATAAACCCACCAAATTCATCCCAGTTAGAGTCAAATCCACAATCTTCTTGTTAAAGTAACCAGATCTCCGCTAGAGGAACACAATAACAAGTTTCAAGAACATAAATGCACAGATGTTCAATAGAAATAATGACGCAAGCACATGAACAGGCAATTCCAGTTATAGACCCAAAATATATATCGAAATCAATTATGCTGGCTCATTGTATCAATAAATTAGTTTAACCTAGTCAATAGTGCAGGATTCCTTCAAGAAAGCATCCACTGAATCAAAACAGTTAACAAAAACTTTTTAGCTACTACAGCTCAGACTATAGATCAAGTCCCTTGATACTTTTACATGCAAGTGTCAGGACTAGCACAAGCATGAAACACAATATAGTTTAAAATCCATAGGCAGTCATCATATTTATAAAAGTAATATTACTCAAGTGATGAAGCATGAAACCATTAAAAGAACCATAAACTGTATGGTAAAGATTTAGAGATTTTAGGCATTACAACATAACTTTCTAATTCATCATGCACAAAACATTAACGTTCAAAAAAGAAGAGACTATGAAGATGAAATTTTCTAAGAGCTTCCACTTTAACTGACAGTTGAGAGAAAAATAGAAATTTATACAAACATACAGATAATATGATTTTAATGGACAAGGATATAGTTACATACTTGCATCTTTTTGCGGTTTTCTGCAGCAAGTTTGATTGCATTGCTTGCTCGAATTCGGTTAATAACCATGATAATGTCAGAATTTGAGCAGTTATCAAACAATGAACATAATTCTTCAAATGTCTTAGGAGCTTCAATTATATAAGGAATGTCTGACTTTGCCGAAGATTTTTTAGCCCCAGAATCCATCTTCTTGGAATCTGAATAATCCCTATCCTTTTTAACATTTTCAACATCATCTTTATTCTTGGCATTTATAAGAACTGTAGCATTCAATTTCTTCTCAGCATTGACCCTGTCATGCCGTCCTGCCTTTTTTCCTTTCTCTTTATCACCACTATCTTCTTCTCCTTCATCCTCTGAATTTGGCTTGATATTCTCATCATCACTTTGTTCCCAATCCTTCAAAGAATAACTATTTTCATGTTCATAAGGATCCTCATCAGAATCTTCATCTGCATCTTCAGAACTTTCAGAATCATCAGAAGCTTCACCACCCTCACTAGCAGAATCTTCTGCATTTTCTCTTTCAAGAATCTCATCAATCCAGCCCTTTTTGCTCATTGTTTCTTCACTAACAGAAAAGGAATCACCAAGGTCATCCCCAGAGAGCAACTTTGGCTTGTCTTTTGGTGAATTTTCTGAATTTTCATGATCTTCATCACTTGAATCTTCAGCAGCAGCCATCCTCTTCTGTCTCTCTTCCTGAAATTATGTTGTTACAGGTTAAAGAAATCAAATAGTTGACTCCATGGAACAAACAAGTCCATGGCAGCAAATGATATATTACAATTGATTGATGTTACTCTGGAATCATAGCGATGTTAAGAATCCACTGGCAAATGTTAAAGTCATCCATTTCTAAAAGCCAGCTTTGCCAAGCATAAGGAATTTATAAATACCTCTAATTGCTCTAAGCGTTCTCTTTCCTCTTGAGCAATCTCTTCTGGAGTCTTTGTCCTGTCTGAGGGGCGAGCTCTCATTTCCAAAGCCAGTTCTTTGACAAGCTTGTCATAAGCATCGGTTTATCCTGCCACAAAGAACAAATAGGATATTACAACAAGAAGAAGCTCTCAAGGCCTACAAGAATCCTCATGAATAGGTACCTCCATAGATGCATCTATCTTCTGAGTGCCAGATAAGCTATCTTTGTTGCTAGTTTCAATAGTAATACTCTTGTTCACCAGAGCCTCCAAGGAATTCGTTTCCTGGGTCAGTCAGAGATAATAATACTTTAGACTGAATTAAAGCAGTGAATTTATGATCTAAATCTTCCAGCAACTGTTCATTTTCTTCCTTTTCTTTAGCTTTCTGGGCCTGGAACATATTAAAAAAAAAGAATATGTAAGGACAAATAGACTATAAATAAACCAATAGCCATGACTAAAGAAAACCCCATACCTGAAAATTTTGCTTTTGAGATAATTTCGTCCATAACTTCCTTCTTGCTTTTATGTTTCTGCAGGTGATAGAAGTATTTTATTAGAACGAATGCAGTTGTAAAGGAAGCTTATACCTTGAAAATGGAAGATTAAATCCACATGATATATCTCTTATGCATAATGCCATCATAAGAGAGAAAAATGCAATATTCAAGAAAGCAAAAGGATCTTACATTTGGCTCGCCTTCTTCTCCAGAAATCCTCATATTATTATTAATACTAACAACGAAGAATTGTCTGCAAAATCAAAATGGAAACCATGCCGTCAACACGAAACTCAAGACAAAAGGTTGTAATATGGGTACCCTCAAGTATAAAACGTAATACCTACTGGACGTATAGCATTAACTTCTAAAAGAAACAATACTAAGGCATAGTTTAGAATTACCTAAACAAATAAAAATTTACAAGATTATGAAAATGAAATTGAAAAGATGAACCCAAGTTGTTATAAAATTGTTTTATGGTCCCACTTTAAATTCAAAACTACAATAAGGAGAAAGCAAACCTCATTAAGGGGTCAAGCCAAAAGTTTTTAGATTTGTCCCCTTCCCGAAATGAGATAAGGGTGCCCCAAATATACACGTGAAAACCACTTTCAATTATTGATTCTCATCCAAGAGATCAAATGGTGTATATACTCTACTTACTGCTAGCAATTATCTAACTCATATATAGAAGGAAAACTGTGCAAAAGTTAAACAAATGTTACGTACTCTTAGCTTCTCCAGTCTCAACAGCATCATCATCATCAGAAATCATTTCATCCTCAAAATCATCTCTTCCTTGTATTCCTGACCCTCATAATCTTCTTCTTCTCCATCTGACAAGTTTATACTTACTTTTCTTGTTCAATTTTGAGCGCAACTATATACACCCAGATAAAAGTGTTAGAGAAGGAACTACAACTAATGAGGATTAGCATTTGAGCAATCACACCAGAGATTTCAGAAGTTTCCAAGTTCCACCATAGAATATATTTAGATAGATTATAAAACAATACTATAAAGTACGCTTGGAGCGTAAGCAACATATACAGAGCTACTTGTTAGACAGTAAAGATAATTCACTAAGGCAACATTTTGGGCCAGGATAAGAAAAATTTTAGCCCCAAAAAGAAAACTGATGAACTCCTATATAAATGTAATTATAAATAAATGAAATAACAGAACCATAAGATTGATTTCCTAGGGGCAATAATATCCCTAACTCAGCATTCAATGTTAGCAAGAGTCACGCTGGCAATATATAAGGTGAAAATTGGAATGAAAATCATTTTTCTGACAATACACGCCCCTAAACCATTAAGAAAGAGAAGATAACTCCCAAAATACAATGCTGAAATGATCAAACTCATGGGTTTTGTAACCAGCCCAAGAAAAAACCACCTGGAGTTCACGCTGTGATCTCAAAACAGCTTGCCAAACTCATCTAGATCTTCATTTTTCTCTCCAATTCGCTTATCCACAAACACAGATGACTCCCTCTCTGCTCATACTCCTCAACAGCGTTTTATTCCTCTGCCAAACCAGAAATAAGATAAGTTCACAACAGCAAAATAAAATAGAAAGAAATAAGATGACGAGAAATTTCTCATGTTTATATTTGATACAAAGTAGCAAACAAATATTTATTCAATTCACAAAAAAAAACCATTCTGATCAGGAATCTACAAGCTTCCTTCATGACAATATTTAACAAAACCTTACAATAACAATAAAATAGGAAAATAGTAAGCAAGCACTTACTTTCTCAATGCCACGAGAACGAGCCATGCCTACCCGACGCTCTTCACCTTTATGTTTTTTCCCCAGTATGTCAAACTTTCTTCGAGACCAAATCGTCTCAAAAGGGTTTTCTTTGGGGACCTTAACTTTCATGGCTACAACATCTGGACCAATCTTGTTCTTCTTCTTGCTCGTCTTTTGGGTACTAAGTTCCCGATTCGATGATTTTGCCATTGATGAGGGTGTTGGAGTGCACCTTTTTAAGGTTTAGGATTTATGTGTCTATATAATGAACTCACTGTCGTGTAAAAACTTTCTCTTTGCTGTGAGAGGTGATTGCCAGACCCTACCTATCAAAGGTAGATAGATGAGTATGGTGACAGTTCACCACAAGCAACGCCGACCTTTCACACAAGAAGAATGCGAGTTGCTTTTTTAGCTATTTAATTTTAATGCACAAGACCATCAAGACTTCATACTAGATAATGTTTCTGGACAAAAAAAAAAGAAAAGAAAAGAAAAGGGAACTATACGATGTTTGCTGCAATATTTTATAAACACATTATAAAATAATACTATTATGGGCTTGGTGATATAACATTAGAAACAAAACTCCTTCAATGTTAGAATAACTAAATCTACATATAACCACAATAACTCAAGGAGAACTCAATATAAACAAAATGAAACTGTACCTATTAACACTGCAAATCTAATGTCTAAAAATTCAAACTCCAGAACTTGATTGAAAAGCATAATTGTATGACAAAATATAATTGCATAAAGATTGGCTTACATCATTTGATCTGCTCCCTCAAATCCTATAAAGAAGAATAATCCCTTCCACATATT